AAAAAAAATAGTAATATTGAATTTGAAAGGGTGAAATTCAAATACAATTTATCAAAATCATATTTTCAAAACAGACGAAAAGGATATTTAACTAATTTCATAGTTATTTTGTCCTCTTTTTTTTTTTTCTTGTTTGTGGACCTTAAAATCGGCACCGAGTACGAAGTTTATATTAGCACAAGAGTATACATTGGTCATTCAAGCAACTTAGTCAATTAAAATTCAGCCGGATAACACGATATGCCGAGAAGATTAATCATAAAGGGATGCTTATTTAAAAGTCCAAAGCCACTATTTGCACCTTTCTTTTTTTTTTTTTCGCGATTAATACTTTTCAAAATTTTTCCTTTCTATTAACACTTTCCAAAATTTTTCCTTTCTATTCACACCCTTCATTTTTCAAAACCCGTGAAAAACTCAATATTTTAACAGGCCGTCACGGCACCGTTAATAACTGTTAAAAATTGTAATACGTGGCATTAAACAGTAACATAATCCAATGTAAACTTTTTTTTTATGATATGGCATAATTAAATCATAATTAATTTTAATTTTTTCATTTTTTGTTTTCCCGCGTCATCTTTACCATCTTCCTCTTCATCCTCTTGGGTTCCTCATGGAACCAGCAACCCAAAACTTTATGTCACATTTATTAATCCAATGTTGGACATTTTTTTATATGTGTTATAATTAAATTATCATTAATTTTAATTTCTTCATTTTCTTCATTTTCTTCTTTCTCAGCATCATCTTCACCATCCTCGTCCTCATCCCCCTAGGTTTTGAGTTTTTCATGGAATCTAATTTTACATGAATGCCTACCAAGCTAAAAAAACAATTTGGAAACAATCTCTAAGCAAAAAAACTCACCTTGCTTTGCATAAAATTCAAATTGACAACCTATTCAAAAACAATCTCTAAGCAAAAAAACTCACCTTTCCAACAAAAAAATTATTCCAAATTGCTTTGTATAAAATCGGAAGCTAAGATAAATACATTTAAAATAAAAAAATTAAAAAAAAAGTTGGAACTGGGTTCTGCGCAGGAACCCAGAAACTGGGTTCCCCGCGAGGATGGTGAAGATGGAGGATGGTGAAAATGATGCCGAGGATGAGGGGAGAAAGAAAAAAAAAAAAGAAAAGAAAAAATGCCATTTATGTAACTGTTTGGTAATATTATAATTTTTTATTATTTTTATTATATATGTGGCATTCACCTCCGTAAAAAATAGACCACGTCATAAAAAAAAAAAAGATCCACGTTGGATTATTAACGTTATGTAGTGCCACGTCAATTTTTGGATGCAACGTAATATATTTTTGAACAGTGCCGTGACGTCCCGTTAAAATATTGGGTTTTTCACGGGTTTTGAAAAATGGAGGGTGTGAATAGGGAGAAAAAATTTTGGAAGGTATTGACCGCGGAAAAGAAATAAATGGAGGGTACAAATAAGGGCTTTGGCCTATTTAAAATATTAAAAAATAAATTTTGTTATATTTGATGATTATTATTTTTTTTCATTTATATTAAATTATTAATCTTAAAATTTTATATTATTATTTAATAATTAATCATTTTTACATGTATTACATCAATAGCCCTA